CAGCCACCGCTTCGCTTCCCCGCTCTCCGGAAACCAGGTACCCGCCGGCCCCCTTTGCCCCTTGGCCCAGCCCCTTTTCCCCGGGACAACCAGGCCCCCCTCTTGTCACCCCGGATCCCCCGAGTCCCTCCTGGGTTCTCCCTGTCCCTGCCAGTCCCAACCGGGTCCCCTGTTGTCCCTGCTGGTCCCACCCCATTCCCCAGTCCAAACTGGGTCCCCCATGTCACTACCAATCCCACCCTGTTTCCCAGTCCCTACTGGGTTCTCCCTGTCCCTACCAGTCCCAACTGGGTCCCCCTTGTCCCCCATGTCCCTGCCAATTCCACTTTGTTCTCCAGCCCCTGCTGAGTCCCCCATGTCCCTGCCAACACTGCCTTGTTTCTGGGTCGTGACCAGGTCCTGCATGTCCCTACAGGTCCCACCCCATTCCTCAGTTCAGATTGGGTCCCACATGTCCCTGCCAGTCCCACCTTGTTCCCCAGTCCCTACTGGACTCTCCCTGCACTTACCAGCTCCTCCTTGCACCCCCCCCGCCAGGCCCAACCAGACCCTCCGAGTCCTACCAGAGCTCCAGTCCCAACAAGGTTCCTCCTTACCCCAGTCTCTGCCTCTTCTTTTGCCCCCTGCCTTGCCCTCTGAGCCCAACTCAACCCTTGGAGCCCCCCACCTTTCACCCCAGTCCCCAAACGAGCTCTTTTCCACCCGCAGGAGGTGAGTGCATTCGGGGAGGCCGGCGAGGGCGACTACCTGGACGACTGGACGGTGGTGTGCAGTGGGACCTACTGGGCGCGGGACGGCGAGGTGCGCTTCCAGCACACCTCCACCGACGTCTTCCTCTCGGTGACGGGGGAGCAGTACGGGCGCCCCATCCACGGGCAGAAGGAGGTGCACGGCATGGCCGCCTCCAGCCAGAACAACTATTGGAAGGTGATGGAGGGCATCTTCATGCAGCCCGGCGAGGTCTTCAAAGCAGAGCGGCACCACGCTGAGTTGTGACGGATGGACAGACTGCCTCCGAGCTTCTGGGTGCTGCCCTGAGGTTTTTGGGACTGCTCAAGCCAGGGGATGGCCCCTGTCTCCACCTAGGTCTGCCAGGATGCAGAGCCCCAGATCCAACACAAAGCAGATCCCAGTGTCCTGATTTTGATGCGGAGCAGATCCCGCTGTCCCAAATCTGACGTGAAGCAGATCCCAGCGTCCAGACCTGACCCCAAGCAGAGCCCAATGTCTGAGATCCAGCACAAAGCTGAGCCCAATGTCCAAACCCAACCTAAAGCTGAGCCCAGCATTCAGACCAGACCCAAAACTGAACCTAACATCCAAGATCCGGCACAAAGCAGGTCCCCACATCCTAAATCCGGACCAAAGTGGATTTTAATGTCCAGACCTGACCTAAAACTGAGCTCAACATCTGATCCAGCACAAAGCAGGTCCCCACATCCTAAATCTGGACCAAAGTGGATTCTAATGTCCAGACTTGCCCTAAAACTGAGCCCAACGTCTGAGATCCAGAACAAAGCAGATCCCCATGTCCCAGAGCCAAGCCCAATGTCCAGACCTGGCCCAAAGCTGAACCCAACACCTGAACCTGACCCAGCACAGATGCCCAAACTCCTGAGCCTTTCCCTTCTCCATCCCCTCTGACTGAGGGCTCCCCAAAAGGCTGCTGTGCCCCGGTACTTCCCCACTGTACCCCAAACCACTCCCAAATCCCGGTTGGAGCTTGGGACCATAAAAGAGCTGAACCCTTCCCTGTCGTGTGGCTGTTTGTGCGGAAAGGGGTGGGAGTGGGTGGGAAAAGGGCTCCGTAGGTGGCGGGGGGACGGACCCGCTTTCCCCGTGTGTCCCCGCCATCCCGGTGCCGGCCCCTGCGG